TTTTGACCGTATTGCAGCTTTGTTGGCGGGCGCAGCGCGGCGCGGGTAGGGTCTGGCCGGTGGTGCAGCGCTTTGAGGGATGCGCAGGCCAGGCCTGTGGCTAGTAGGAGGGCCGGCGCGGGCAGCGCTCCGCGGCGGCTGCCGTTGATGCGGGCTGGCGGGTGTGCCCAGGCTCGGTGCCGCCCCGGCGGGGGGTGGCTAGTCACTCGTTCCTTTACTGTCATTAAGTGCTATTGCGCCTGATGCCTGTCCCGTTGGCGAGCCGCTTGCGCCCCTTTGCGCCAACCTGTTCGCTGTGGCTCTCGCCCTGGGCGCTCCCTGGCCGTGCTTGGGCCGGGCTTGTCTCAGGAGTGCGCCTGGGGCTGCCCCGTCCTCGGGCGGGGCCTGCGGCGGCGGTGGTCGCGGGCGTGCCGTCTGGTGGGCTGGCGCCGGCGCTGCTGCCGCTTGCGCTGCGGCTGGGGCTATGTGCGCCTCTGGAGGCCTGGCCTGCTGCCTGGGAGGTGCGTTGGCGGGTGCGTGCGTGTGGCTGGTGCGCTGCGGCCGTGGTCTGCGGGGCGGTGGGCTGCGGATACGTCCTGCGTGCATGCGCGTGCTGCGCGCGCGCCGCCAGTGCGCTTCCCGCGCCGCCTGTCCCCCTGTCTTCGGCTGTTGCCGGGCTGGCGCGTGTGCCTCTGCAGTTGTGGATTTTGCCCTGGGCTGTAGGTGTGGCGATATTTGGGTGGGTCTGGCGGCTGCATGGTCTGTTCTGCTACCTATTTCCAAAGCGCCCGGTTCAAAGCCGGCCGCAGCGTGGGGGCGGGGCAAGGGGCACCCCGCCCGCGCAAGGCCGGCGGCGGCGGCGACCGTGCAGCCGCCGAGCGCGCCCGCAGCAGCGAACAGCCCCGGCCGCCAGCGTTTTGCAACGTTCTGCGTTCTAGACCATGTGTGCTGATCCATTTGTGCGTGCGCTGACGCCGCCAGACGCTGCTGAGAGGAAGCCATCGACCAGCGCCATGCGGACAACCGTTGCAACTGAAATTTACAGCCAAGGCGTGCAACAAGGCGCATGCAATGCGAAGGCGCTCAGCTGGCCACCTTCATGATGTGCTTGTCAAAAAGAGCGCGCAGCAGCGTCCCAAACTCGGCCATCCGCTTCTCGTGCGCCGCCGCCCTCTCGGCCTTGGCCTTCTTGTCCCCCTCCTGCTTCTTGCGCGCCGCCGCCGCCTCGGCCTTGGCCTCCTTGTCCTCCTCCCGCTGCCTCTTGCGCGCCGCCGCCGCCTCGGCCTTGGCCTCCTTGTCCTCCTCCCGCTGCCTCTTGCGCGCCGCCGCCGCCTCGGCCTTGGCCACCTTGTCCTCCTCCCGCTGCCTCTGACGCGCCACCGCCGCCTCGGCGTCTACTGCCTCCCCCCCCAGCTTTTCCTCTTTCTTCACCGCCCGCCACTGTTCCAGAGTCACACCTTTCTCCTCCAGCTCCCGCCGCAGCTCGGCGGGCTTCATGCGGTGCGCTGTTTGCGGGTTTCGTTTTGTGTGCACGAGTGTGTTGGCAAGTTGAGGCAACCGCCGACTCAGCGCCGCTGCAGACAAAGGCGCACGACGCACGCACAACATGTTTACGGCTGGTGCAGCGGCCGCAATGCGCACCGCCGCGTTGTGCTCGGCCTCAACACACTGCTTGCTCCTCGCCCCCTAGAACACCACAACGCCCACCTGCAGCGACGGATGTCACCTGCATGTCGAACCGCTGCAGCTCCCGCGCCGCGGGCAGGTCAATTGTTGCCAGAAAAAGCAGCTCGTTGGGGGTGAACGGGTAGGGGTGAAGGCCGAACTCCACACACTGAGCGTTGCGCCCGATGCCTGCAAGTTTGTGTGGGGCGTGGTTCATGGCGTGGTTCACGCCCCTGCAGCAAGCGCCCAACACGCGCAGCAGGCGCCCAGCCCCCGCAGCAGGCGCCCAGCCCCCGCAGCAAGCGCCCAGCCCCCGCATCAAGCAAGGGCGCAGCAGCGGAGAAAGAGCCCAGCATGCAGCAAGGGTCCCCTGGCACCAAAGCCTCGATGCGCTCACCCGTGGCCACCCGCGCCAGTGTTATCAAAGCTGCGGTGGCGGGGCTGCAGCCCGCGGCCCCGGTGACGACGCGGCCCGCGACGGCCAGCGCGGCGTCGTCGGTGGCGGCGTGCAGCCACGCCAGCGCCCACCGCCCGCCGCCGATGCCCTCCCAGCTGCCGTCGGGCCCCCTGTCGCGCGCCCAGCGCCGGCGCAGGGACTGAATCTGCTTGGAATTCAAAATCCTCTGCAGCTCAAAGGCGAGCCGCGTGCCGCCCAGCTGGAGGTGGTGGCTGCCCGCCGGGGGCTCTGGGTGAGCCCGCACAAGGCGGATGGCCTCGTCCACCGTCTGCAGGGGCCACGTGACCAGGCGCTGAATGCCAGCGGCGCCGACCTCGCGGCGCCGCCCCGCCGCGACGTAGCGGCCGCTGTACTGCTGCGCCATGAGCTCCTGGTGAGCCGCTGCCGCAGCCGCCCGCACATACTCCCCGCGCGTTGTGGGAAAGCGGTCGCGGCGGTCGCAGTCGCGCAGCTTGAGCTCGCTCCAGTCCTGCATTTGGTTTGTTTGGGGTTTGGGTTTTGAATGGTTTTGCACGGTTCCTCGACTTGCTGCCGTACAAATGCCCACCTTGCTCCAGCGCGCGCACCCAAAAACCGCCCAGCCCCCCCAAACAAAAAACCCCCCAGCAGGCCCCCCAAACGACTCGAGCAACCCCCCTCCAACCCCCCGCCCATCACCTGGAGGGCCTGCACCACGCCGCGGGCGGTTGACACGGCCGAGTTGACGCCGGCACCGCCCGCCGCCTCGCGGCGCTCCGCCAGGCTGCTGCTGGCCGTCCAAGTGACCTTGGCGGTCATGGACGCAACGCGGGGGCCCGCGATCCACTGCGGCCGGGGCTTGCCGGTGTAGCCGCTGATGACCCTGGCCTCGAGGCGGGCGCAGAGCTCGGCCGCCTCGGGGTCCAGCGCGTCGTGCCGCCAGCACTCGGCGACGTGCTGCGGCAGCTGGGCGTCGTTGAATCTGTCGTTGAGGTAGACCATAAAGGTCAGAGCGCGGCCGCGGCTGCCGACGAGCTTGCCCGTGGCGGGGTCGCAGGCCGCGGCGGCGTGCTCCCACCGCAGGCGCGCCGTGCGGAACTCGCCCGGCGCGCCCAGCGTGCGGTCCAGGCCCTCCCCCTGCGACACGGAGTCGCTGATGCAAGCCGTCGCAAACGGCTGCAGGAAGCACCACGGCATGCTGAGGTTGCCGCCGCGGAAGCACAGGGGGCTGAGCTCGTCGTCGGCGACGCGCAGCAGCAGGAGGCAGCGGCGCCAGCCCAGGTCTGAGTCGCTGGCGCGGTCGCTGCCGTGCGCGTGCCACGCCTTGAGGTCGCCGTCGTCGTACACGCGCACGGCGCCAACGACGGGCCGCGGCGTGCCGCCGTCTTGGCAGGCGCGCCCAAAGCAGCCGAGGGGCCCGCCGAGATAGGCAGCCAGCAGCGCGCACGCCGCGTCGTGTAGCGACAGCGCGCCGGGGTCGGCGCCGGCGGCGAGCAGCTCCTTGCCCCGCTTGAAGGCCGCCTCAAGGGCGTCGGCCTCCACCACCATGCCCTCGCCGGAGGTTTTGTTGAGGGTGCCGCGCACGCTGGGGCTGGGGCTGCCCGGGTTGTTGTAGGCGACCACCGCATCGCAGAGGGCGTCGACAACGCAGCGGCGGCCCTCGTGGGTGGCCGTCGTTGGCGTCGGGAGGTGGGCAGGGGCGGCGGCGGCGGATGGCGGGGGTTCGGCGCCTGCGGCCTGCTGCCGCTGGTGCGGCCCGGCCGGGGCCGAGGCCGCCGGCCCCGGCGGCGCTGCGGCAGGCTCAGCCGCCGGCTCTGCCTGCGGCGGCCGCCGGGGCGGCTCCGCTGCCGTCGGGGCCGAGGCGGACGGCTCCGCTGCAGCGGGGGGCGGCGGCGCGCCTGGCTGCTGCTGCGGCTGCTGTGGCGCGGGTGGAGCCGAGGCGGCCGGCTCCGCTGCCGACGCCGCACCCGGCTGCTGCGGCGCAGAACGCGCCGCCTGCGCCCCCGCCCGCGCCTGCGCGCGCGCCCGCGCCCGCTGCTGCAGCGCCGCCGCCGTGGGCCGCAGCAAAAACTGCACCCGGCCACGCAGCTGCGGGTGCTGGGGCGACGCCACCAGGCCGCTGGCGGGGCTCAGGTGGACCGTCTGGCAGCGCTGCTGCATCATCCCGGCCTGGTACCGGCCTGGGGCAGAGGGGGCGGGGCGGGCAGAAGGGTGGGCAAAGCGAGCGACGACGGCGGCGCCAGCAAGCACGGCGCGGATCGCGCGCCGCCGCCGGTGCCCCCTGCGCCCCTGCGCCCCAGCTGCCCCTGCGACCGGCTTCCGAATCAGCGCCGCGCACCTACGGTGTCGGGCGTCGAGGAAAATGCTGCGCTCCCGAAGCGCCTGCGATCTGAGCTCGCGAGCGCGAGCGCCCGGAAAGCGGGCGCGGAACGAGCGCGCAAACAACGGTCCCGGCGGGAAACGGAAAAGACGTGCTCGGAGGGCGACCCGACGCCGGATGGGGGCGGGTGCGTCGCGCCGGCGGCGCTGCGGCGGTGCGGCGTGCCTTGGACGCTCCAAACCCCAGCGCGCCGCGGCCGCCAGCTTGCGGTCGGAGCCGGCAACCAACTAGGGCAGTTTTATCTCACCTTTTAGGCTGAGGATCATCTCCTGTTAGGCTGAAGATCACAGGGGGCAGGCTCGGCGCTCGCGGTCCTCCTCTCACCTACGGTGAGAGGAGGGAGGAGCTGCGGATGAGCTGAGATTGGGTAACAAAAGGTCGGCTGCTGTTGCACCCGCGAATTAATAACGATATTAACCAATCAAATCTGCAATATATGCTAGTAAAGGAGCAATCTAGATCTAATTTCCGAAAACCTGTTTTGCTTTATGATTTTGACATGTTCTGTGATTGCATCAACTGAACTTCCGGAGGCCGTGGTTGTCCCGTCCATAAAAATTCGCCGCAATAGCTCAGTTTGGAAGAGCGTACGACTGAAGATCGTAAGGTCCCTGGTTCGAACCCGGGTTGTGGCATTTTTGCCATTTGCACACCCAGCAACGGGCGAGGGCGGGCGGGGCGCGTGCACGCGAGCGGCGGGCAGTGGAGGAGACTGTGCATGTAAAAAGCCGATACCCTGGCAGTTTCTGGTTGGCTTGGGAAGCGGGCTCGGGGGTCGGTGGGAGCAGGGGGTGGCCACGTGGAATCCAAACTTGTCCAAACACGCTCTGTGGGAGGGGCTCATGCGGCACTCATCACCCCACAGCCTGCTATGCCCCTGCACAGCCGCCCAGTATCGTGCAGTCAGCCGCGGGATGCTGGACAGCCGCAGCGGCGGCTGCAGCCGCTCCTGTTCGTCCCTTGCACACCCAGCAGAGCCAGCTCACCTCCACTAGCGAGCGCAGGCAGCGAGCGCAGCGCAGCCAGCCGAATACGGGATTGCAAATCCCCGAGAATTCGTCTGGCGCCGGCCGCGGCCAGTCATCAAGCGGGCGCGCGCTCGGGTGACTGCCACCGGCCAGCGCTGGCGATCTGCCGAGTATCTGCCGGGCCCAGCGCCCTCTTCCGGCCTTGCCAGCCGTCACAGCGCGCCCATTAGACCCCCTCGTCACTGTACGGGCCTCCCGGCGCCGCCGCCGCGGGGACGCTCGCGCCGCGCCCCCGCGCCGCGCCGCCTCGCCCGCCCAGGCGGCAGGCCGGGCCGCGGCCAGACAGCGAGCGCGTAGCTGCGGCAGGCGCTGGGGTCATGAATGATGGGGACAATGACCTAAGGAGAACGGCGCCGCGTGTCGCTGCAGGCTCGTTAGGCCGGCTGTCGAGCGCGGCTGTGCACAGCTGACAGCTGACGGCGTCTTTTGTTTCTAGCTGGCAACAGGGGGGGCGTTGTTTGTTTGTGGGTAACAAAGGCTCAGGCTAATTGGTTTGGGAGGAAAGAAGGGAAGGGGCTGTACGCCTTGCCTGCGCACGGTTGGCGGCTTGGCGCGCAATACGGCAACAGCGCACAGCACATTGCCACAATGAACAGCTGACGGTTGGCTTTCGCGGCGGCAACGACGACTGCAGCAGTGGCGACGCCAACGGCGGCCAGCGGTGCAATGGGCCGCTCAAGCGCGGCGCGAAGGGGAGCAAATACTGCAATCGCAACGGCGGCGGCGGCGGCGGGCCGCCCCACCCGCGCCCCGCCATCGTCACGCGCTGCAACGAGCAGGCCCCGGCCCCCCGCTCACGGCAGCAGCTGATGGCGCTGCTGCCGCCCAGCACGACCTCGCACGCTTGCACCTGTTTCGCCGCGGCCGTCGCCGGTTGGTGTGCAGGGTTTTGGCAATGGCAGCTTGTGCGGCGCGTGTGGGTCAACGTGGCCAAGGCAGAGCCGGCAGGCCGATCGCAGCGACCGTTCTGTGAAAAAAGCGGCAGCAAAAACGCCACGGTTTATACAACCCGCAGATGGGTGCGGCAGTGCATGCGCCCCATGCTTGCGGTGCCTTTGGGGTGGACGGTGCAGCTTGTGCGCTGTCAAGCAGGTTGGAGGGGGGCGGCGCTGCCGGGCGCGGCTCTGCCCTAGCGGCGGCGGCGACGTTGCATCGCGGCATCGCCGCGCGCGGCCGCCCCGTGCTGCGGTGCATCGGCGGCATCCATTGCCCGCCGTACACGCTTTGCTGCCACCACACCTGTGCTGCCGCAGCTACGCGCTCGTTGTCTGGCCGCGGCCCGGCCTGCCGCCTGGGCGCGCGAGGCGGCGCGGCGCGGGGGCGCGGCGCGAGCGTCCCCGCGGCGGCGGCGCCGGGGCGCGCTGGGAGGCCCGTATAGTGACGAGGGGGTCTAATGGGGTCTAATGCGACGGCCGGCAAGGCCGGAAGAGGGCGCTGGGCCCGGCAGATACTCGGCAGACCAGCCAGCGCTGGCCGGTGGCAGTCCCCCGAGCGCGCCCGCTTGATGAGTGGCCGCAGCCGGCGCCAATAGTATTCTCGGGATTTACAATCCCTTATTCGACTGGCTGCGCTGCGCTTGCTGCCAGTGCTCGCTAGTGGAGGTGAGCTGGCTCTGCTGGGTGTGCAAGAGGGACGAACAGGAGCGCGCCTGCCGCACCTGGGCGCGCGGTGCTGGCGGCCGTCGGCTGCCGCCGCCGCTGCGGCTGTCCAGCATCCCGCGGCTGACTGCACGATACTGGGCGGCTGTGCAGGGGCATAGCAGGCTGTGGGGTGATGAGTGCCGCATGAGCCCCTCCCACAGAGCGTGTTTGGACAAGTTTGGATTCCACGTGGCCACCCCCTGCTCCCACCGACCCCCGAGCCCGCTTCCCAAGCCAACCAGAAACTGCCAGGGTATCGGCTTTTTACATGCACAGTCTCCTCCACTGCCCGCCGCTCGCGTGCGCGCGCCCCGCTCGCCCTCGCCCGTTGCGGGAACCGATTGCGCGCGGGTGCGCGCGCCGGCGTGCCCGCGCGCGCGCGCCGCTCTCCTCGCTCGCCGCGGCGCCCTTGCAGCCAAGCGGCACCGCGGCCGCGGCAGCGGCGGCGCGCGCTCTCCCCCTCCTGCACGGGGCGCCTCTGCGGCACGGGCCGGCCTCCGCGCCGAGGGCCGGCCTCCGCCACCGGCCGCTTCCGCAGGCGCGCCCCGGCGCCCCGGCCTCACTTGCTCATGACCTGCTTGAGCACGGCCACCAAAAAGTCCGAGTAGCCCATCTGCCCCGCAGACCGGTCCTCCACGAGCAGCGGCACCGCCACCGCCTCGGCCGGCGTGCCCTGCCGCACCGCAAACGCGGGCTGCATCGCGGCGCGGTCGGCGCGCAGCGCGGCGAGCAGCGCGCAGAGGCGCTGGGACAGGGGGGAGCCGTCGCGGGGGGGCTCGAGGGGCAGCGCGCTGACGTCGGCGCCGGGCTCGTTGGCGGCGGGGCCCAGGAGCTGGGGGCGGGGGGGGGGGGGGGGGGGCGGGGGGGGGGGGGGGGGGGGGGGGGCGGGGGGGGGGGGGGGGGGGGGGGGGGGGGCGGGGGGGGGGGGGGTGCTTTAGGGGGGGGCCGCATGCAATGGCGACGTGGCGGCGCGCTGCGGTCGTTGCGAATCACACAGCAAAACAGAGCCTGCTGAGCACCTTCCACATGCAAACGCGCCCTCCAAACACACACAAACGCACCCTCCAAACACACAAGCACACACAGCCTCCAAACACACAACACGCACGAAACACGCACAAACACACCTGCGCGACCAGCCCCGGGTCCGCGCTGCGCCCCAGCCACAGCACCAGCAGCGCCCCGTTGCTCAGCAGGTAGGCCCCGTTCTCGTGCATGTAGGCCAGGGTGGCGGGCACGCTGGGGGGAAGGACGACCTGGGGGGGGGTGTTTTTTGTTCTACTGCTCAGCAACTTGGTGGTGTGTGTGGCTGGCTGGCTGGCTGGGTGGGTGGGTGGCTGGTGGGTGTTTGGCGTGGCTCAGGCTCAGGCCGCGGCCTGTGGCGCCTGCGCGGCCCAACGAGGCTGCTGCTTTGCAGGGGCGGGCGGCCTGCTTTGGAGGGCTTCTGTCAGGGCAGGCTGGCTGGCTGGCTGGCTGGCTGGCTGGCTGGGGTTTGGTTGGCCGTCTGCCCAACGGGAGCACCCTGGCTTTGCTGGCTGTCGCGTGCGGCGCCGCCCCTCCACCACCCTCCCTCCCCCACCAATCCCCACCCCCACCCCCAAAAACCGAAACACCCGGCCCCCCAAAACCCCAAACAACCCCCCCAGGCACCCCTCCCTGGAGCGCGCCTATTCAGCCCTCACCACGGCGTGGCGCGAGGTAGGGGCCCGCATCGCCGCCGGCGCCGCCGCGCGCGCCCGCCTCTGCGGCGCTGGGCTCTGCTGCCCGCCTGCTCCCCTGCCCCTGCTGCCCCGCCCTTGCCGGGGGCTGCCATTGCGTGGGGGTTTCCCAACACCTCCCCCCTTCTCCCCCAAAAAAGCTAAACCTAGACCCCATTCCCCCTCCAACGCGAAGCACCACCACCCCTTCGTTGCAATCCCCTCTGCCCCCTCAAAACCTCCCCCCCAAACCCTCTCCCCCCCACCCAAACCGCAGCACATCCTGCCGCAGCAGGCGCTTCTGGACGACCCCTCTGGCGACGCGGCCGCCAAGCTGCTGCGCTACATCCCGGATGAGGAGCTGACAGAGGGGCTCAGGCGCAGCTGGGCGGCGGGTGGGTCGGGACTTGCCGGGGGGGTCGCGGCGGGGAGTGGGGTTTTGGGATTGGAGTGGTGCATTCAGCGCCCACGGCGGTGCGCGGCGGTGCGCCCATCCCGCCTCGCTCTCCTTACCTCACCCCCAGGCGGCGGCGCGCGCGGCGGGCGCGGCGGCGGCGGCCCCTGCGTGAGCGTCCGGCGGTGGGACGAGCTCGTGGAGGAGGTGGAGGCAAAGGTGGGGGGGTTTGGTGGGAGGTGGGGGGTTTTTAAGGGGCGCCGCCTGGGGGTGAGGGAGGGGGGCCGAGGCGGGATGGGCTGGTGGAGGACGTGGAGGCAGGCAGGCCCGCGCAACCGCCATCCCCCACACGCGCAAGCGCGCGCCCCAGCTTGGGCTGCGTGCCCAGCGCCCCCCCTCACAACCAGCGCGCGCCCGGCACCGCCCCGCCCACCCATCCACCCACCCACCCACCCGCCGCCAGGCCAACCAGCTGCGCCGCGCCGGCAACCGCGGCCGCGCGGCCGCGCTGGCCCGCGGCCTGGCCGACGCGGTGTTTGCCCACGCCTACCCGCGGCTCGACGTGGAGGTGACAAAGAAGATGAACCATCTGCTCAAGGTGTGGAGCGAGGGGTGTCTGACTCGAGGGGGGCGTTTGACTCGAGTTTGACTCATAGTTTTGCGAGGTGCACGCGTGCCCGCCTTCCTCGCGGCTTTGACCGCGGGGCCCGCCGTGCTTGCACACGGCCCTGCCGTCGCCGCCGCCGCCGCCGCGCGCGCAGCGCCTCCGCCCCACGGCACCCCACCCCCCACCCCCCCCACCCGCTGCCGCCCGCCCCCAACCCCCCGCCAGGCGCCCTTCTGCGTGCACCCCAAAACCGGCCGCGTGTGCGTGCC